AGCAGCCGGAGCTGTTAACCACTGAGCCATCTCTCCAGCTTTTTAAATTTATTTACTTGTTCATTTTTGAGACAGGATCTCATTATGCAGCTCTGGATAACCTGGTCACTATGTAGACCTTGAATTCAGAGATCCACCTGCCTCTGCCTCCTGAGTGCTGAGACTAAAGGTGTGTTCCACCAAGCCCAGCTGTGAGTTTATTTTTTATTTTAAATTATGCATATTTGTCTGTGTGTGGGTATGTAACACATGAGTGTAGATACCCACTGGAGGCCATCGGATCCCCTGGAGCTGGAGTTTCAGGCAGTTATGAGCTGCCTGATGTGGGTCCTAGGAACTGAACTCAGGGCCTCTACAAGAGCAGTATGGGCTCTGAGTCAGTAAACAATCTCTCCAGCCCAGCCAACAGTACTTCTAACCCTAAGTTACTGACACCCTCGAGATGAGAATCTCAGAGCAATGTTGGCCACAGAGAAAGTTAAGCACATGAGGGTTCCTGCTGCTGTGATTCAGAGGCCCATCTGTTTCCTGGTCAGGTTTGCAGGCTCTTGCAGAAGATGGATACCCCCTCCTGCCTTTCCCCCACCTGTGTGCTAGGTGTGGCACCCAGCCCTACGAGGAGGGAGCTACCTATGGTGGGACTTCCCATGTTCCCATTCTGCTGTGCCAGGGTGACAGGAATGGCCATCTCTGTCACTGTGCGCCTGACCACATGGCCTTGCTCTGCAAGAGATGAAGGTTCTCAGCCTGACTAAGAGGGGCACCTCCAGCCTCCCTCTGACTTCTGTGTGCTACCCATAGGACCTTCGATGGCACCCAGGGGGCTTGGACACTCATAGATGCTCCTACCTCAGAGGTGGTGTGAGTCTCCAGTCTGGGAAGCCCCTCCTGCCCCAGCTGCCTTGTGGCTGCCAAGCAGGTGGACACAGTTTCTCTGTGGTCTTGGGGTTTGGTGGGCCTCTGGCAGAGGGCATCCTCCTCCTCTGAGGAGGTCTGCTGTTCTGGGTCCCCTGGTCTCTGTGTCCCTGAAGACTACATAGGAAGAGGAGGCCCTCTTCTCTCCCCCAAACTAAGAGACACAAGTCAGCTCTCTGTGAAGTATACCCCAACATATGCTCAGAGGCTGGATTCCAAGCTGGACAAATTGACTTCTTAGATCTGAGTCAGCAGACCTCTGCCTGGGGCAGATGAGGGGATTCCAATGGAAGCTGGAAGGCCGCCAGGTAACTGACAAGGCAGAGCCACTGGCTGGCAGAGGGGCACCTCCAGGCTGATGAGGGTCAGGTAGACTGGTCACCAGGTCAGGCAAAGACAGAACTGGGCATAGGAAGGAACTCAGGAGCATATGGACCCTATTTTCAGTTTTTGAAGAGAAACAGGCCCCTGCCTGGGCTCTAAGCTTAGAATGCATATGCTGAGGCCTTCTAGCCCTGGGCTGGGATATGAGCACACTGTAGTCTGGGCCTCAAAGCCTAGGCCTGCTCCAGGGGACTCCCTGCAGCCTCAGAGCTTGGGGTGAGAGAACCGGTTCTATCAAGGAAACCGAGTCAGAATTAGGAGGGGAGGGTTGTCTGGCCTTAGACAGCTCATCAGTGTAGACAGCTCAGAAAAGTCAGGAAAGAGTCGCAGATGACAGAGGACCTGAGGTGGTCTCCCTGTCAGTCTCAGATGCCCTGTGGTTGCTGCAAGGGGCATCTCTTCCTTAGCCTGAGAGCGGGAAGTGGTCTCAAGGAATGGAGATGTCCAGGAGAGCCCTAGGGAGCCAGTGACTATGACGGGAGGTTACTAGGTCCTCATCTCAGGGCATAGCTCATTCCCAGTCTCCTTCTAGCCCAAGGGCCCTGGCAGCACAGAGGGGCAGGGTGGAGGTGAGAGATGGGAACCAGATCTGGCCCAGTGCCCACTGATTGAGCCAGGCAGAGACTCTGAGCTAACCCCTGCTCCATGCTGGGCACAGTGTGTGCTCCAGTGAGAAGCCTGGCTTTTGTGAGCATGGCATCTCTGACGACACATGTCTTCAGTGCTCCCAGCCTACCTGGGGCTCCTCCCTCTGGAGAACCAGGAATACTGATCACCAAGGTCACTCTGGGGTAATGACTGGCTTGGCAGACACCAAGGCTGGGCAAGTGGTGAAGGGGCTGGTGCTAAAGAGCCCCCAACTGTCACCATTCCTTCCAGTGTCACCTGCCTGGTTAGTCAAGCGTACAGGAGCACAGAACGGGAAGAGAGCAAGAGTGCAGTGTACAAGTTAAGGAGCCAGTCGATCATGTGGCAGTCACATCCATGAAGGCTAAGTGCCCAGAAGATGAAGGCAACTGTATTGCTGGGCTTGACAGGAATTCAGCTTGTCAGGAAAAGCAGCTACATATTGGTATCAATGCAGGAGCTACAGTTCCAAAGTTAAAGGCTGGCTAGTCTGACCTGGACTCAGAGCTGGAACTGTAACCGTACCAGCCATCTGACTCATTCTACAAGCTTGCACTCCTTCCCAGCACCGTGCTGGGGAGTTTCTGTCTGTGCCTTGTGCCCCTGAGGCTCATGGTGGTGGTAATACCGAATGGAGTGAGTGTTTGCTGCTATGGCTAGTGGACAGTAGTGCCCAGGGATCTGTTCTGGCTGGCCGTAGAGGACAACCACCTTTACTGCCACCAGATCACACATGGAGAGCCCACAGCCCACTCCCTCCAGCTTCCCTTGGTTTCCTATGCTGTAAAAAGGGACTCCCTGAATCTCCCCGTATCTTGGGAAAGGGATCTCTGGCTCCCTGCCACCCAGCCCTGAAACTTTGGTCAGGACCGTGTAACTCGTAGCTAGGTAACTCACATGCAACTCCCACTTGGCGGCACCTCCCAACTTTGTTAATGGAAATCTGCTGATCCGTGACATGCGTATGTGGCAGACATCTGCTCGGGGTAATGTGCTGGTAATGTACGTATCGATGATCAATCTGTGGATTTGCAAGAGCGGCATAAAGTATTTAATTATAACCACGTTGGGCAAGCCTGCATGGTGGCAGCGACATTTGAATAGGTCACCTCCAGCCCTCACCCCTGTTATGTTATGGGTATTAAATGCCATTCATTCCTGATGTTGTGAGATATCACACACTGGCAAATTGGAAATGTCCTTTTGCTTCTAAGAACATGATTGATGGCCTCGGCAAAGTGAACGCCACCTCAAGGTACACTGGCCTTGCCAGATGCCACCCTGGCCTTGCCCAGCTGTGGCTGTGGAGGTGGTGTCTGGCTGTAAACCTGAACACAGAGGGGCCCCTATCATTCTGAATGTCTGTCTTGCTCAGGGAGAGGTGCTTTCATGTTTTGAATCAGACTTTGTGAACAAGAAAAAAAAATGCAAGAAGCAAGTGAGCACCCAGAAGATGAAATGCAAATTTTATTTGCTCAGTTGGTAGCAGAAAAATACATCTTCACATGCTGGCTGTGCCACCACTGACGTAGCTACCATCAACATCGTAAGCCATCTAAAGCAGATATGCAGTGATTTGAATTGATGCTTTTAGCACACCCGACAGAGGGATATAAATAACAAGGATGCAGACAGATGCATGACGCATGCCCACAGCACACACTCACACAAGCTCCGTACTGGCCATCCTGATAGTCCAGACAAACCAGGGCAGAGGAGGAAACCTGCATGGAGCCTTAGGCTCTGCACAGGCCCTTCCAGAAAGAAGCCACAAGCTTGGGTGCCATATCATGCCTGGCCAGCAGAGGGAGTCCATGAGTGTGTTGGCTGTAGGGTGGGCATTGCGAGAAGAGTACCTCAGAAAAGGGTCTCAGAGGTAGGCTCCCTCTCCTGCTCAGCCCAGGCTGGGGGACAGCTCCTAGTCAGAGACTGTGGTCAGCTGGACCTGGAGGCCAGGGAGCAGCCATCCCAGCCACCTCCTCAACAGAGATTAACCAACCAGGCTCCAGAGGCCTCCTCTCTCTTCACCATGCAGGCTCTGAGGACCCCACGTGTGAGCAAAGGGATGGAGCTGACGGTGCAGCCAGGCTTCGGAGTCTCTCCTGTGGCTACAGCCTGCGTCTCCGACTGCCCACCTTCATTTCCCCTCCAGACTGTTTCTAAGACAGCCCACTAAAGTCAGACTGTAATTCGCAATCCAGACAGCCAGCCTCATTGGGTGTGATTTTGCCATTCAAGGAAATCCGCACTGAGCTCATCAGATTACTAAACGTTCAAATTAAGTCATGGGAAGCAATTAACGCTACAAAAAACCAGGCTGGTGAAAAATGAAAATGTTGGTCAAATAGTTTTCACTGTGCCTAATTGTCTTTTTTAAACTGCCAGTCTCCTCGGTAATTAAATCATTTACGTTTCAAATGGAGTGGACCTCTGTCTCCTGCTCGAGCAACCACCTGCAAGAGAAACTGGTGAAGGCTGAGCAGGGGCCGATTTCCTGCTTAAAAGAACCAGGAAAATGGGGCTCTATACCCGGTCCTCCCATCCTTCCTATCGCTCTTCTTTCCCTTACAGAGTGCGCTTGACTTTTTCTTAAACATCTTTTTATTTTGAAGCAGGCCCTCACTAAGTTTGCCCAGGCTGGACTTGAACTTGCAATCTCCCTGCCTCAGTCTCCCAAGTGCTGGGATGACCAGGTTGTATCATTCATCCTGCCTGGCCTGGGAAGGAGCTATCTGCTGAGTCACTTTAGATTATGTCATTCATAACCTGAAGTCATGGGAATTGATTATTATGTGTGAACTGTTTTAAACTTTATTCTTTCTAATTATAGGGAAGGCCTTAACCAGCTCTGTGACTAGGTTACTGAGCACACACCAACTTTGGAATGGGGCTCTCTACAAAGCCACCTGTTATATGACTGGGGACAACATGCAGCCTGGCTTCAAGGAGCTTGTGTTTTTATTGCTTGGGACTTGGGAGCACTCAGTAATTCCAGCAAATTTTGAAGTCAAGCCAAATCTCAGCCTGGTTTTCCTGCCAGAGAACGATTTTTCTTTATAGATAAAACCACAACATCACAGTAAATACCTTTTATAAGAAAGCCTCCTGTTGATTCCTTTAAGGGAGGGCTGAGCCCTGGGGCAGTCAGGGAAGAAATTTGTCCCTGTAGCAAAGTCCAGAATTTCTGGCTCAGGTTGAAGCTTAAAGTCCCGCCTCCAGCGGGAGGATCAGGTCATGGGGTCCCCAAACTGACTTCAGCCGCCACCTCAGGCTGCCCAAAAGTGGAGGCTCCTTTGCTGGGGCTGCAGCGCCGGGCATCTGGCTTCCTGCGCGTGACAGGGCGACCTGAGCGCCGGAAAGGGGTCTGGAGAGGACAGGATGTAGTCGATGCTGAATTTGATGTCTCTGTGGGCCGCGGGGCTGGCTCGGGTCTCGCTGTCCGGGACTTGCGCACCGCCCGGGCCGAGGGACACACGCGCGGCCGGCTCCGGGGGATCCGGGAGCCCCTCTCGCTTGGGGCCGCGTCGCCTGCGTCGCCGGCGGAAATTGCCATTCTCGAAGAGATCCAGGAGCGACTCGCAGCCGCCCGCGAACGTCCAGTAGTTGCCTTTGCCCTTGTCGTGGCCCTCGGTGCGCGGCACCTGTGGGAGCAAGGGGCTCAGCGCGCGTCCCCAAGTACGCGCTCTAAGAAAGTGTCGCCGCCCGGCGCGGGGATCCGCTCGCCAAGAACCTGACCCGGCTTTGGGCGGTGACACTCCGACCCTGGCAGTTCGGACGTCTGGCCCCGGAGTTGGCCAGCTGGGGACAGCCAGGGTCCCGCGCGGCGTTAGGGACCGGGCTCACCTTGATGAAGCAGGGGTTCAGCGACAGGTTGTGGCGAATGGAGTTCTGCCAGGCGCGCTGGTTGGCACGGTAGTAAGGGAACTTGCGCATGATGAAGTCATAAATGCCCGACAGGGTCACGCGGCCCGCGGGGCTCTGCTGGATGGCCATGGCTATAAGCGCGATGTAGCTGTGACGGGGTATCAGACAGAGGGGTTGTGTCAGGCAGGATGGCTGAAACTTAGGACTGGTGGCCACGGATTCTGTGAGCCCTGGAACTGGCTAGAACCCCCGAGACCAGAAAGAGAGCAGCCCCCTATCCACTGGAGACCTTCTGGAGCCCCAGACCCACTGATGTTGAATCTGGACCCCTTAGAAACCCAGGATGGGCAAGAACGTCCCCTCCAGACCTTCTAAAGCCCCCCCCATCTCCCCAAGGCTCTCTGAATCCCCAGATCCTCTACATTCCTTAACCTTCTGAACTCCTCAGACCCTCTCAAGCCCCCTAAGGCCCTTTGAACACCTCCAACCCTGTGAACTCCTAGGCCCTCTGGACTCCCAGACCCTCTTAAACCCAAGACCTTCTGGACCCACAACCCTCCAAACCCCTAGACACTCCCAAGTCCCCCAAGACCCTCTGGACCCCGAGATCCTCTGACTCCTCAACCATTTGAATCCCCCAGATCCTTTCAAGCCCCCAAGACCTTCTGAATACCCGGATCCTCTGAACCCCTAACCCTCTGAAACTCTAGACCCTCTCAAGTCCTCCAAGACCCTCTAGACCTCCAATCCTCTGAACTCTCAGATCCTCTCAAGTCCCTCAAGATCCTCTCAAGCCTCCCAGACCCTTTGGAGCCCAAAGATCTGGATCCTGGGAGCCCATTGGAACCCCAGACCCTCTAGAGCTCCCCGAAGCCCCTCAGGGCCTGCTGGATATCCCCCACCCCTCAGATTCCCCAGGACTGAAGAAGACCCATGGTTTGTCCTTTCTTGGGTCCTGCAGTAAGGAAGCCCCCTTCTCCCAGCCCTGAGCAGGTCCTGGTGATCCCAGCCCTCTCTTGGTGCCATGGCCCCTGTCACCTGCCCTGGTCACCTGTATGCCGGCCGTGTGAGTCGCTTTTCCTCATCGGAACTACCGGCCGGGTAGTCGTCAGCGTCGTCGTTGAAGCAGTTGTAGGGGTACTGCGAGCTGTCAAACATCCTGGCGGCCCTGCTGACCCCGCCACCGCCTTCTCTGCGCCGCCTGCCGCTCGCTTGGTGCCTGTCCTCGCTGCTTGGGCCAAAAGCGTCTGCGCAGAGGGCGCGGGGAGCCTGGGCTTCTGGGGTCCCCGCTGCCCCGCCCGGTTCTCCAGCGTCCAATCCTGGTGCGGGGGTTGGCTCCAGTCACTAGAATGGGCGCGCAGCGGGGCTTCCCCGCCCTCTGACCCGCTGGGGAAAGGAGGCAGGCAGGGCGACCCCCACTTTATCCTCTCTGGAAGGGTGTGAGACAGCCTCTGGCAGCAGCACTCATTGCTAGGGATCTTAGGGTCCAGCCCTACAGAGCCAGGCTATTGTCCCCTTTGCCAGCAGACATGGGCTAACTGATCTGAGAGAGCCTCAGAGCCCAGGCCTGGTCCTGGCCAGGTGGGGCTGTTTGAGGCAGCCTGGCTGCCTGCTTCCCACACTGCACACGAGATGGATGAGGACCCAAGACCCAGAACCCAGGGTTACCACCAGCATCTTGTGTACTCCTCCTGCCTCTGTCCATCTCTGCCCAGAAGTGGCCTCCTGTGGGGGCCGTGGGTGGCCTGGGGCCAAAGGATCAAATAAAGTCCTGGGACTCCATCCTTTATCAGAGACTCTGGTTTTTTGAGCTTCCTATTGGCCCTCTGGTTCTGGGAGGGGTAGATGCACGCATGGGGAAGGAGCCATCTGTCAGAAATTATGGGATAAAGCAGAGAGGAGGGATGTCACGATGACCCTTGGTATCCAAAGGAACTTCTTTCCAATAATCTACAGAAGACAGACTGGAAGCCGTGTCTTAGCAGTTGGGAATTTGAGGATTTGGGAGAATAAAGCACACAATTCTTCTGGAGAATATTTTGGTAAATTCTTGAAAAGCTAAACATGTAGGCAAGAGTGATGGCACAGACCTATCCTCCAGGCAGCCAGGAGGTCAAGGCAGGAGGCTCAGGAGTTTGAGGTCAGCCTGGACTATAGAGTGAGACCCTGTCAAAACAAAGACCTACAAAAACTGAACACAAGACTACCATGCAACCCAGAGATTATTTGCCTGGACCCGTTATCCCATAATGAATCTTTGCTCATAGGGATGCTCATATCTTTATTGGAAATATCCCCTAACTGGAAACATGTTCTTCAACAGATGTAGAGTTAAGTGCCTTGTGTTGCAATCCTGCTGTGGCATACTACCTAGACAGTAAAAAAGAACTGTTGATGGAGTGAAAAGGCCAATTTCAGAAGTTTGCCTTACTTTACAGTCTCATTTATATAACACACACCCAGGTAGAAGCTTCACTGCCTTATGACAGTGCTTCAGCCATGGCACTGTCACAGGCTTATCCAGACCCAAGGGAGAGAAGCAGACTGCTTTGCAAAGGGAGGAGTACATTGTGAGGAGGGCAGGTGGAATGGGTGGCACTGTGCAGCTATCTTTGCTTTGTGAGGACAGCAGGCAAGTGAGAGCTGCTATGGCACACTGCAGAGGCCTGAGGGGTGACAGGACCAGAGAGGGAGGATAACAGGGAATAGGTGAGAAATCTCCTGTCTAACATAAGTCTACAGACCCAAATCACAAGACATGTGGAAGTCTGATGCTACGAAGTACATCCATTGAAAGTGGCATTTGGGAAGCAAACTTAGCCCTGATGAAATAAACCTTGTAGAACTGTCTGTCAAAAACATAAACATGGGGCTAGAAAGCTGGCTCAGTGGTTGAGAGCATTGGCTGCTCTTGCAGAGGACCTGGGTTCTGTTCCCAGCACCCATATGTTAGCTAACAACCATCTGTTACTCCAGTTGCAGGGGATCTGGCATCCTCTTCTGGTCTCTGCAGGCATTGCACACACTGATGCACTTAACATACATGCAGGCAAAATACTCATACACATAAAATAAAAGTAATAATAAAAACATTAGTGGCTTCAAATAAGGATGCTTATCTGTCAGACTTGAAGCTTGTTCATACCCTGTCCCACATGGCAAGTGTCAACTTGCTTCATAGCATCCCTTGAGCCACTAATATGGTTAATATTTTGTTTGATTTGCTTTGTTTTTTTGAGACAGGGTCTCCCTGTAGTCCCAGTTGGCCTGGAACTCACTATGTAGACCAGGATAGCCGAGATCTCACAGAGATCCACCTACCCCTGTCTCCCTGCACCACTATGCCTGGTCCAGTGTTTGATTTTTGAAGGAAAACTCCCTTGCTTCCCCTGAGCTTTGGTGTTACACACAGGAAGTGTTTGCTGAGTTCAGAGTCACGGTTTTCCTCAATGTCCTCTGCTGAGCACTGTTCTGTTCAGCTGTAGACTAGAATGGAATCTGACACTGTGCTAGTGTGGACCCAAGAATGCCAGCTGGGAGAAATCAGCTCGACAAAAAGTTCCATTTAGACATGCAAACCAAAATAGGCAAACACACAGAGACAAAGTTAGGAGAGAGATTGTGAGTGCTGGGGTGGAGGGGACATCATTGTTTTTAAAAATTATTTATGTTGTATATATGTGTATGTGCATGTGGAAGCTAGGTGTCATCCTCAAGAATGCTACCTACCTCTCTCATTGGCCTAGAGTTTACTAATTAGGCTAGTCTCACTGCCTAGCAAACCCCAGAGATCCCCTTGCCCCTGCCTCCCTCCTCAGTGCTGGGATTACAGGCATGCCCCACCATGCCTGGGATTTACCCAGGTGCTGGGCATCAAACTCAGGTCCTCATTCTTACATGACAAGCATGTTACCAACTGAGCCATCTCCCTACCACCATGGGTTAGGAATTCATGGGTGGTTCAGCTGGGTAACTCTGACTTGGGTGTTCTCTCTCTCTCTCTGTTTCTGTCTCTCTCTGGAGATTGCAGCTGTGAGACAGAAAGCTACCTGGGTTCATCTGGTAGCTGCGGTCCAGGGTCTCATCCCTAGTGCCTTTCCACCACATGGAGGTCACTTCCCACTGAAGATATCAAGCCTGTGCAGCAGTCCAGGGCATCTTGTAACCAAGTGACAGCAGTGGGCCTTATTGGTATGTCTGCTATTAGCCTCACACCTCTTGGGGTGATGGGGATAAAGAGTGCATTTGAGTTTCAGGAGGTGAGACTTTCTGGGCACTGGAGGTACTCACACCCACACACAGGAATATGGAGACTTGTGGTACCCACAGCAGGGAGTGGGGGTGCGGAAGGACATCCTCCATGCTGGAGGTCAGGAAGATGAAAGAAAGCAGGTGTGGACCACCCAGCTACTGAGACCTCAGACTGAGATGAGGCCTGGGTAGCTCTGTAAAGCTCAGGGGTGCAGAGGGCCGAGAGGAGCAGGGGGTCGGCAGAGACCAGCCTCCATTCATAGGGCTGGCATTCTGGTGGGAAGGGGGCGCTCACTGGTCTGGGATTTCAGACAAGGTTCGTCATTACAGTCTGTGGTACAGAGAGGTTGCTAGGGGCTCTGAGGGAGGACACATGAGGCACAACTGGCCTGGGCAGTGAGAGCATTTGAGCCACACTCACGATAGGGGTAAAGGCAGTGAGAAAATGCTACTGGGGCTGTGAGTTCTAAGGTGGCATACTGGCTGCTGGAAGGCCCCATAGTCCATGCAAATGGTAGCTTCTGGAAGATTCTGGAAGGCCTGAGTGATGCTACTGGGGCTGTGAGTTCTAAGGTGGCATACTGGCTGCTGGAAGACCCCATAGTCCATGCAAATGGTAGCTTCTGGAAGATTCTGGAAGGCCTGAGTATACCAGAAACTTCCTCTACCTTCCTAACAGATCCCTAGCTTCCTGCATCTCAGGAGAGTGTCTGTGAACATGACCATCATGCAGGGCACAAGACTGGTCTTCAGCACTTTTTAAGAATGTGCATATCAGGGCTGGAGAGGTCCATAACTCCAGTTCCAGGGGATCTGATGCCCTCTTTTGGCCTCCATGGCAATTGCAGTAACAGTGCACAGAGACATATGCAGGGAAAACACTCATATACATAAATTTAAAAAATGTGCAATAATATTGCCAAGTGTGGTGGTGTATGCCTTTAATCCCAGCACTCAGGAGGCTGAGAGAGAAGGATCTCTGTGAGATTGAGGCCAGACTGGTCTACATAATGAGTTCCAGATAAGTTGGGGACCCTATCTCCAAAAAAAAAAAAAAAAAAGGGAAAAAAGAATGTATATATTGGGGTGGGGAGATGGCTCATTGGGAAAGCAATTACCATGCTAGCATGAAAACCTGTGTTTAGATCTCCAGAACCACAAGAGAGCAGGACTGGGCAGCATCTATCTGAAACCACTACACTGGTTTGAATGAAAACATCTCCCATAGGTTCAAGTGTTTGAACACTTGGTCAGTGGGTGGTGCTTGGGAAGGTCATGGTACCTTCAGGAGGTGTGGCCATGCTGGAGGAAGCATGTCACTAGGGGCGGGCCCTGAGGGTTCATAGCCTTGCCCCACTTTCAGAAGCTGTCTCTGCTTCCTGTGGGTGCTTGAAGATGTGAGCTCCCACTTTCTCCTGTGGCTGCCTCCCTGTCAAGATGGACTCTGACTCTCTGGAACCATAAGCCCAATAAACTCTTCCTTCTATAAGTTGCCTTGGTGATGGTGTTTTATCACAGCACAGAAAAGTGACTAATGCCTAGACAGAAGCAGGATACTTCCTGGGAGCTCACCGATCACCTCGCCTAGCTTATGCAGCAGTAAATGAGAGACCCTGTCTCAAACAAGGTTGAAGGTGAGTGAGGCTCAACACCCAAGATTTCACTCTGATCTCCACATGCTTGCTGTGGTATGTGTGTACATATACACAGACACATGCAGACACACACACACACACACACACAAATGCATATATTAGGGGCTGGAGAGATGGCTCAGCAGTTAAGAGCACTGGCTGCTCTTGCAGAGGACCCAAGTTTGGTTCCTGGCACCTACATGGCAGTTAACAACCATCTGTAACTCTAGTTCCAGGGGATCTGATGCCCTCTTCTGACCTCTTTGGGTATTGCACAACACGAGAGTACATATACATGCAGACAATAGACTAATACACATAATAAAATAAAAATAAATTTAAAATGCATATGTGGGCTGGAGGGATGGCTCAGTGGTTAAAAGCACTGTTTGTTCTTGCAGAGGACCTGGGTTTCATTCCCAGCACCCACATGGTGGCTAAGAACCATCTGTTACTCTAGTTTCAGGGGATTCGACACCCTTTTCTGACTTCCATGGGCATTGCATGACACGTGTATTACACACAACCAGGCAATACACTCATACACATAAAACAAAAATAATAAATAAAATATTTTAAAAATTCATATGTTAGAGAATCTGTTTATCCAATAGGCATTTATGAAGTGCCAAGTCTGTGCTATCCTTGGGGACATGGAGGGACAGGCTAAAGCTTCCCCTGGGGGCTTTATATCTGGCTGTGAGAGGCTGGTGAGGCTCAGGACGCGGTGGCCTGGTCAGCAGCACCAGGCTAGCTCTTGCTTGTCTCTGCTCTCTCTAGAGAGCAAAGGGACCAGACAAGAGCAGGTGCCCACCTTAAGATGCTCCTGGCTCACCTGTCCACAGTGCTACCCCTCAGGACACATTTGACCACTGCAACAGCTAAGAGCCATAGTCCTTAATGGGAGAGACAGTGGAAGGGCTGGTTGTTGTGTAACTGTTCCCACCAGACTGAAACAATTGCATCCCAATTGAAATCTTCTGCTAAGGCTCAGGAAGTAAATGAAATTCACAAGACTCAGTAAGTTCTTGGAATTTAGGAGATTCACAGGACCCCCCTCCCAAGGTTATATAAGCAGGGACAATTGCTGGGG